GTAAAACATATCTGGTGCCTCTATATATGCAATTATATTAACATCCAAAGTCCATCCTACTTTACATATTCTGCACAAAAGAAACTTTCTGCTCCGCCCCATTCATAAAAAACTGCGGGAAATCCTATCAGGTTCTGAACCGGAAAAGATATAAAAGAGCGCTGGTGTCATGCTTTTGCTCATTTTCGCTTCGGACGGCGTGGCACTTGGTCCCAGTGATGCCACATATACAGATTTATCTGTAATGATACAATTTTTTTTTCAATATTTTGATACAGATATCTGTATATGCAGATTACAGATTTTTGAAAAATATACAGATTTTTCAGATTTTTCAAATAAATGTATAAATAAATTTCATATATTTTTTTTTATATTTATTATTTACGATAAATAATTATTTTTTCCCTTCTAAGCAACTTGAATTCAATCTGATCATCAAATCCAAATCGATTTTTCACTAAATGAATATTATTATTTTAGCTGCGAATTGCCTTGGAATCTTTCGAATGGACTTATGATGTTCAGATGTTCTGATGTCTCGTTATAAGGGATTTTAGTTTCTCTTTCTATTTGTTTAATTAATCATATCACATGGTTACAGATATGAAGGTTAATTAAATATATTTTTCGTCAAATCGATAAACAAGCCATTTTAGAAAACCAACCAAGGGGTTGATTAAAGTTTGTGAGTCGAAGAGTCAACTTGATATTTTTATAATTGAAAAGCATACTTATAGAAATAAAGATTATTGCATGCCATTCGACTAAACTTCCAGTAAAAGTTCTGTGTTATGTCTAATGTCCAGATAAAGGTTTTCGTAACCTCAGACAAAAACAAAATCAAATTCTAGGGATTTTTGATAGGGGAAATGTTTGCTTCAGCAATACCTTAACTTCGTCAGGGGGGTAAACAAGGTCTTTGAGAGCTTAATTTTGGCATGTGGATACATTGTGTTTTAGAGCATCTATTGGCCAAATTTGAGTGCTCTAGAACTTTGTTTACCCTGCTGACGATAATACGTTAAGGTATTGCCGAAGCCGACATTTCCCTTGGGTAATTCATTACGAAAATTTTCACTGTAGAAGAGATACAAAACACATCAAGATTGTGGGATTTCAAGATTTTAAAAATAGACAAATTCTTTAGAAAGCAAACTTCATTAAAATGCTACGAAATTCGCAAAACTTCTATAAAGTTTGCCGCACTTGTATTTCTGAAGAGGCCTGGCCCCCTTGTCACCCCCATTAGCTATGCCAATGAAACTTTAGTAATTTTTTATGATTCTAAACTTAGAACAAACTGAACTATTTTGAACTATGAATTTGCTCAATGGAGATTTACGTAAATCCGCACTGAGACCATAAAACGGAAATTATACAGATTTTTGTGAGCAAGATTTTTAAAAAGATTTTTTGCGATGAAAATACAGATCTAAATTCGAAAAATGTGGCATCACTGCTTGGTCCTGCAGTAAGCAGGACCAAATCAGCGGCTAAAGGTGGATCACGGCGTGACCACAATAATGATGTAAACCCCCTCCCCCTTTCACAACAACCTCTCCCCCTCCCCCTTCACAACAATCTTTCCCCCTCCCCCCTTCACAACAATCTCTCCCCCTCCCCCCTTCACAACAATCTCTCCCCTCCCTCAACAACCTCTCCTAACCCCCCACCACCACTCATCAACAACCTTTCCTAAACCCCCTCCCCCACCCCTCAAATACCGCTCCTAACAAATCAATATCTATGTGTCGGCCACATACTTACAATATGTACATATAAAAACCATGCGTGACCACACATACTATTCATTTGCGTGTAAATTTCATGTGTACTTCTGAGTGGATTCTGTTTATGTGTGGTCAAATGAAAATCATGTAGAATTTCACATGGATATTTGTCAAGAAAAATGTGTAAATTGTTTTGAGTCAACCATAACCGAAACATTGAAATACTTGAAAATTTTAAGATAAAGTATAATAGTCAAAAATGCATGAAAAACATCAATTTTGTGTGGTTCTACGTCATACTGCGGTCGTGTCTAGGACACAACCCTTTACTTTTTTTTTATAAAAATCAAGCTTAATCAAAATATGTAATCGTAAGATCTCGTGGAATGGTGCATAAATGGTGCAGTCAAAGAAAGATTCTGTAACGTTTGTAGGTCTATACATTATGTAAACACAAAGAATACCTGTGAAAATCGTTAGGGTGTCGGTTTAACCCGGATTTACCCTATATTTTTCCTAGAAAGCCTTTATTTATCAACAATTTTGTCTCGGTTCTCGTTTTCGTGCTACAACTTTTTTTGAAAAAAAAATGTGAAAAAATACAAGATCCAAAACGGCTGATTTTATTTCAAAAATTTGAATGCTTACCCATAACATAAGGACTGACTAAAAGTAAATTGGTACGCCCTTCGTGCGCCGCTAGCACGCCTCTAGTGTTGGGAATCGAAAATCTTTGACAATGGTTTTTTTACACTTCTATATTGCACCACAACTGGTGCAAGTTTGATCAAAGTAGTCGATTGCGTTCAGAAATAACGTCAAATGGAACTCGATAGAAGAAAAATTATTATGCACAAACACCTGGAATATCCGGAGTGGTCCGGTTCCAAGCTGGCTAAAGTGCTGAAGATGCCGAAAACAACAGTTTGTCGAGTGCTTAAGACTTACAAGGAAACCCTGAGTGTGGAAAGGAATCAGCGAAAAAGCTGGAACCAGGGATCGTCAGCTGCGCAGCAAGATGTTGAGGTGCGTTAAAGCCAACCCCGGTCTTTCGATCCGAGATGTGGCCAGAAGGTACAACGCCAGCTTTCAAACGGAGCGGATCATCCTTTTCAGGGAAGGATACAAGTCGTACAAAGCCAGTAAATATCCGAACCTTATACGACCGTATTTTGACGAAACATACGTCAAACTCGATTTTGAGCAGCTTCCCGGGCAAAAGTTTTACATCGCGACTGGACGTGGGGATGTGCCGGGAAGATTCAAGTTCGTGTTTGCCGACAAGTTCGCGACGAAGGCCATGATTTGGTAAGTTATTTGCAGTTGTGGCCTGAAAACGGAACCATTCGTCACATCCTCGACCATGACATCCCAAGTTTACATCGAAGAATGCCTTAAAAAGCGTGTATTGCCGTTCATCCGCAAGCATAGGGGCAAAGTCATCTTTTGGCCCGATTTGGCCAGCTGCCACTACTCCAAGGTGGGCCTGGAGTGGTATGCTGCCAACAAAATCGATTTTGTCGAAAAGCTAATGAATCCTCCGAATTGCCCAGATTTTCGACCAATCGAAAAATACTTCGACGAAGCGGCGGGTCAGTCAAAGACATTCAGAAATGCGGGCAAAATGGAAGAAATGCGCTGATTCCGTGTCCGTTTCCACTGGTCGGTCGCTGATGGTCTCCATCAAGAGGAAGGTTCGAGATTTCGTTCGAACTGGAGAAATGTAATCATACAATGCTGTAACTTTGAAGTTTTAATAAAAGTATTGTAAAGCAACTATTAATGGACTTATTAAACTTATTGAATCACGAATTATAGGTCTTTTTGTGCGTACCAATTTACTTTTAGTCAGCCTTTACAAGTATGCAAAGTTTCATGCAAATCTTAGAAGGTCGACTCATAATGAAATCTGCAAGTACTTGTAACCGGTAATTCAATGTATTCCAAGTGGGAAATACACGTTACAAGTTCTTGTAAATTAATTATACAATAGGCCACAGGTCTCAGTATGGAACCGTTTGAGCACAGAGGAGCTAAAATTTTAAATTCAGCATAGCAAAAAAAATCACAACATTTTACACCAATCCAATACGAAGTTGTGAGCAGAGAGCATTTATTCCAAGCCTTGATTTGAAAATTTTAGAATGCTGAAGCATAATTGGATATGTACAGCGAACTCCCAAACTAGTTCAAGATCAGTAGGAACTTTGTGCTCGCCAGGTTCACAGACTGCGGCAGCAGCTTGAGCGCTTCCGATTTCTTAATATTTAATTTTTAATACAGTTTTTACCCATTATGTTTATAGCCGCATGAAAAGTTTTCTTTTTTATTTTCATTTCGCCTGTCTGTCTGTTCAAGTCAGGTTTCGGTTGTAGCACACCAGTAGTATGGTTTCCTCCGACGGGACCTTCTTTTCTCCGCATCCCTAGGCACACACAAGCAATAATATCGCCTGTTCTCTGCCCCAATGCAATGCTTGGTGGTTCAAAAGCAAACAACGGAAGCAGCAAACACTATAAACGTTCTGTTTTATGTCCTTGAGGAAATGTTCCAGTTTGGCGGTCACTATCATTGTTTGGAATGATACACCGCACGGACCTGGTGAAACATAGTGTCATCGTATTCTTCCGTAGCGACAAAGCTTTTCATGGAACTTTTATCACCCCAAAAGATAAAATATTATGACAGTGTGATGTTAAAATTTTAAAAGAATCGTATTGCTTAGAAAATCATTCCTTCAAAAAGACCTTCTTCTTTTTATACATAGTTGATCCATTTTTGAGTATTATATATAAGCATGATTGATTTCCCCAAAAGCTTCTCAAACTTACTAATTTGTTTTTCGTTTTAATTTAATTTTCACACGCCGGTTGAGCTTCATGCATTTGCATTGCTTCTATTAAAATTTGCATTCTATCTTGAACGCTCACAGATCAATATGAGAGGACGGCGCTTCGATTGCAATCAAACGGATACAAAATAGCAGCCCACCAACAAGTTCCATTTCTCGCTGTTATTTCGTTTCGCCACATCACATTCAACAGTAGATAGCAATTTCATGAATATCGTTTCTCGTGTGTTTTTTATGTCATTCTCTAGTGGTTTAAATAATTTATGAATATATCAAAAACAATACTCCTCCGCCCCATTCCTCACTCGTCGAGAGCACTACAAAGCGGCATCCTGATTGACATTCTATTCTGTCCCTCTATCTCTTTCCGATGTTCCATTCTGTGCTGTGCATCGCAAATTGGATTCCAACCGCAGTCAGTTTCGGTGGTCAACCGGGAAGCGGTGGTTTCGTCAGTTCCCGAAGTGAACCAATCTCGCTGGCAACGCTCGACAAGGACTGCTTCATCATCCCGGTGCACAGTTTAGACCGGTTTCTGCCCGCCGGAATTCCCGTGAGTCTTTCTGGCTATGATGGTTACATATTTGAACAATGATACATTTCAACTGTTATCCCACCCCTAGCTTCCCACCCCGGAAACGACAGATCCCACCCAGTCTGGACCGCTCAGCGTGCTCGAGGTATCGGATCCGAAGATTTGCATTCTGGCACATTTGATGAGCCCATTGGAACCAATCGATCCTCTGCTGGAATCACCCCTGGCGCACCCGCTATCGAAGCAGCGAGCCGTTGCGTCAGAACTGCTGAATGAAGTACAACAGGGCAACAATGCCGTCGGCGGGATGCTGCTGGCCAACATGGAGCGAAGCTCAGGTGAGATTTTTTTTTTTAAATCTTTATTTTAGAGACTTTTAGCCTTAGGCTAGTTCATCTCTTAGCTCAGGTGAGACTGATTTGACTGAAAATCCGAAAATATCGAGTAGGTTTATGTATGTGAGTTGCCGGAGCTGAATGCCATAAGTTTATCAGGGTGATTGTAAGAAAATTAATGAGTGAACTTAGTAATTGGACATGAACATTACAGTGATGCAATATTTGAAATTGTCGCTCCACAGTGCCGTTGTAATTTCCATACAAACTTAAAATGGTTTGTGCCAAGGCAGTTCAAATTTTGCGAGCCGTTTGAGAACTCCGGAGCGAAAATTTCAAATTTTACATCAGTCTAATAAACATATTTGACATTAGTGTATATACTAGAAACGTATCTTCTCTGAGTCCATAATCAATAAATCAAGGATGATTTTTCAAAAGGAATCAGAAAGGGTAATTTTTCCCCAAAAATATTTAGAAAAATTTACGTTTCAATCTTTGTTTTCAAAAGCAGCTACGACGTTTTGAAAAATCATCCTCAATTTCAACTCAATCCGAAAACGGATAATGGGATAATCGAACCATGTAACCAAAATAAACTAATCCTGACAACCTACCACCAAGCATAATCTTCCATAAACTCCCATAAATCTTTCCCATCTTGCAGCCGAATTTCCCTTCATTGCGTACTATGTGATAAACACCACCCAGACCGATCCGGCCATGTTCTACACCGGAGTCCGAGGAGCATCGCTGTCCAAGTTCGAACCGAAAAACACCCGCTACACGGCTTCCCACACCCTGGACCTCTACAGCGAAGTGGCTTCCATCTGTCGACCTCCGTTGGCACTGGCCCCCAACGAAATCGGTAGCGTCAAGAGGGGCCAAACTCCAACGACCGGCTACATCATCAGCGTGTATAAGGTAGGCACATTCAGAAGAAGAAGATTACTATCTCAAAGATTTCAACGCTCGAATGTCGAATGGGGGGCGGGGGGTTGATATCAGTTTTTCATTGGTACGTGACCGACCGGCATGGGGATGTTCATGGGGTTGTCGTTTACGTTGAATATGTGTAGTCTACAATTTGAACACCTTTGGCAAAACACCTGATGCTATCCGACCAACAACGACGACGACGACGACGAGTATAGAAATAGGAATGCGTGTCGACGAGTTCGTAAATTCGATTTTCTAACCGCTTTTTTCGACTCTCTTCTTCTCAGATTAGTGTTGGGAAGTAGATGCTGCTCTGAATGCCAATAAGATTGCTTCCATGTATGTATCCGATTCGGAAAGATACGAAAGCGCGGTGTTTTTTGCAACCGTGTACCGATCACTGGCCAGAAGCAATCTGCTAATTAACTTAAACTTTCTGTACCCGACTAGAATAAAATATCTAACCAATTGCAAATTAAGTTATTCAAAATAGGAAATCTAAAGAACTCTTTTTGCTATTGGTTTGATCGATACAAGAGGTAAAATATCAAAAATTATATCAGAAAACCTCTGGGCTGACTACTATTGGCTATTAGCATATCTAATTAATAATAGAGTTTTTGAGCTTCCCAATAGCAAACCAATGTCCCAATAGCTATTCCAGAACTATAAAAAAAGCTACAGTACGAGATTCAACGAGTCTTGAACCAGGTCGTTTGAGTGACTATCTCGTATGCTGGCCACTCAACTATATCTTCTTGTTTAAGGTAGGAGGAAAAAGGACCAACAGTTTATAGATTTATACTTTTCAACGACGAAAATAGAACAGATCGTGTGTCGCGTGAACTTTACACAAATGGTGGTTTTCAAAATGTTCAAAAATATCTCAATTTGCTATGGATAACATATTGTCGTCAGTGTACATGATATTACTATTTAATAGTATGTGATTGAAATGATTTGCGTCTGAAGTCTATGAAGTAATCGGAGTGTCAGCAAATCCCGAGAGAAGTTCCAGATAGAGCAAAACAATATCAAAGCTTGCTATCATTTCTCATTGAGCTATTGGTTTTTTGTTCAATCAATTAAATCAAAAACATAGTAATAACGAGGGGGCGACCCCGGCGTAATGGTTAACATCCATACCTCTCACGCCAAAGTCACGAGTTCAAATCTCACCCCCTGGATAAGTCACGAATGACCCAAGAGTGTTAAAGTGACTGTATATTGTCAGTAGTGTACCCCGACAATTTGGTGCTGGTGGTTCTGTCAAACTCACAAGTTTCAGAAGGGTTATAGTTAGCACTCGGACTTTGTTGAGACAACACGCGTTGTGATCAGTGCTCTTCAAACTGAACGTCTGGGTTATTCTTCACACCTCGTGTGATCATAACCTTCAATCGGAATCTATTCACTTGAATAGTTTAAAAATGGACAAAACCAGGAAGAACACGTTGAAAATCGTTTTTTGGAAATGCGGCCAAAACACCAGTTCATTTGGATGTACTACGGTTCACAGCAAGAATTTTGAAGATACCAGCGGCAAATGTACACTCCATTTACAAAGATGAAAATGATCGTTGCATCTACATCAAGTTTCTGGACGACGAGGGATTTAGCCAATATGTGCGCAATATGGAGGAGCAGTACCGGTTCGAATATAGCGAAGGACATAGCTGCAGTACTGGGACAGTTCGGCACAATCCGACAACATGTTCGCGAGCGTTACCCTGCTGACTATGGATATAGCGTTTACAGTGGTATTCGTGGTGTCCATATGGAGATAGCGAAGGATATACCAGCCAACCTGTACATTGCGCATTTCAAAGTTCGAATCTATTTCGATGGCCTGAAAAATAAGTGTTTTTTCTGCAAAGCGGAAGGACATATCAAGGCTGACTGCCCCAAGCTGGCGGCCATGAAACCAGCGGATAACAATGTATCGTACAGCGGGATTGTGTCCGGTGCAAAAGCGAACAATGCTCGAACGGATGCCGAGCTAACTACAACACTAGAGATGACCTCGTTGCCCTTGAAAACCAAGGAAATTTCTTCGAAACCGGATGGGAAGGAGGTACGATTCGTAACACGACCGAATGAGTCAATCGATGCAAACCAACAACACGGTGAAGCGGGTGCGAGTAAGATGGATGGTATCCAAAGCTCGACGAAACGGTCAACGCAGATATCCACAGACACCGAGAGCTCGGGATGTGTTGAAACAGCGAAGAGAGGCCGATCGAGAACCAAGAAGGGACGGGTGGAGGAGAAGCAATTGCCGGTGCTTGACGCATTGGAGACTCGATCGAGATCACGAAGTGAAATGAGGGGCGGAGGTAAGAAAGGTGGAGAACGGAAGTAGTCTGGTGACTGGATGAGAATAGTGTGAGCGATGATTTGTTAGTGTGCTTGAGAGTTCGGATGAGATTTTCCTATTCGCTCCCTCCTTAAACGACTAGTCATCGATGTCATTTATTCGAAACATTGCCACGGTTAATTTGAACGCTATTAACTCAGACGTTAAAAAAGCATTGTTAAGGGATTTCATATGGAATAATGATTTAGACATTGTTTTTGTTCAGGAGCTATCTTTTGAGAACTTTTGTTTTTTGAAAAGCCATATGGCTATCGTCAATTTCAGTGAAGATGGTAAGGGTACGGGAATTCTAGTGAGGAACAGCGTCGAATACTCGGATATCATACTTAATTGTAATGGTCGTTTGACGTCAATATGTATTGATTCAATTAACTACATCAACATCTACGCACACTCAGGGAGCAATTTTAGAAAAGAGAGGGATAAGCTGTTCAAAGAAGAAATTTTGGTTCATTTGGCTCATGGGAAAGAAAATGTTCTAGTTGGTGACTTCAACAGTGTTCTCGAGGCATCTGATACGAAAGGTTCAAGCAACATTTGTCATGGTCTTAGACAACTCACAGTAGTCTTGATTTAAAAGATGTTGAAATATGTCTTTTAAACAATCGAATTAATTTCACTTTTTATAGAGGCTCTTCAAAATCACGTTTAGATCGGTTTTATGGTTCCGAAAACTTTATAAAACTAGTTAAAAATATCAGAACACTACCATTGTCCTTCTCGGACCATCATGGAGTGATGATTAAACTGAATGTCCCAGATGTGAGCCATGTCAGTTATATTGGCAGAGGATACTGGAAATTGAACTCTTACTATTTAAAAAATGACGACATAAAAACTCGTTTTACATCAATGTACGATTCTCTCAAAAGAAGGAATTCTTTTCTGAACTTGAGTTTTTGGTGGAATAATGATTTCAAATCGAGCACCAAACGGTTTTTCAAGACTGAAAGTTTCACTATCAACCAGCAAATTGGTAGAGAAAAAAGTTTCTACTATCAATGTATGAATGAGTTGTTTCAAAAGCAAAAAGAAGGAGAAACCGTTTTGGATGAAATGAAAATCGTTAAGTCTAAACTCATGACGATAGAACAAAATAAATTATCTTTTTATTCTCATACGATCAAAGAGTGTAACATTCTCGAAAATGAAAAAATGGGCTTATACCAAACAACATCTAGTCTTTTAAAGTCAACTCCATCAAAAATATTAAGTCTTCGAGTTGATGGTAGGGTAACTTCTCATGCACCTATACTAAAGAAAACTATCTTCGATCATTTCTCGCAGATCTTCTGTAAACAACCTAACACCGATACTAACTACCACAATGTATTAAGGTTCATAACCAAAACGCTCACAGATGAAGAAAGAGAAAGACTCATTCGTCCGATTGATTCTTCTGAATTAGAATGCGTCTTAAGAAATGTTTCCACGAAGTCCTCACCAGGACCGGATGGATTAGGATATGAGTTCTATGAGACCTATCTCGATACTATCAAAAATGATATGTTAGCAGTATTCAATGCATACCTGTGCGAAGGTGAATATCCTCCTGGTTTGTTTTCATCTGGAATTATAACTTTGTTACCTAAGAAAGGTGACAAGCATGACTTGAATAACCGGCGTCCAATCAGCATGCTCAACACGGACTGCAAACTGTTCACAAAGATTTTGTGGGTGAGATTGCAGACTTTGTTGAAAGGGCTTATCGGTCCGGGTCAGTCTGCCTGCCTTGAAAATCAATCCTGTATCAACAATCTTAGAATTCTCCGTAACACCTTGTTGAAATCAAAACAATCGCGTAATTTCAAAGGAATTCTTTTAAGCATAGATCTTGAGAAAGCTTTCGATCGCGTCGATCACGATTTTTTATGGGCAACGTTGGAAAAATTCCGATTTCCACCAGTATTTATTGACTGCTTGAAAAGATTATATAAAAATGCAACTTCAAAGGTTCTGTTTAACGGATTTCTCACGAACGGGTTTGCGATCAATACTTCAGTTCGTCCAGGTTGTCCTCTGAGTATGGCATTATTTTGTTTATATATTGAACCGTTCATTCGAATTATTTACTCGAATGTCGATGGTTGTTTGATTGGTAATTATTTCGTAAGGATAATTGCCTATGCAGATGATATCAACATTCTCATCCGTAACAATCACGAGTTTGATCGAGTGCTGGAACTAGTCAACTATTTTAGCATTTATGCTAAGATTAGAATGAATTTCGTTAAATCTCAATTTTTGCGGCTTAACAACTGTCGTTCTGGACCTCATCTGATCCAAGAAGTCAATTATCTGACAATTTTGGGAGTCGATTTATTTAAGAATTTCGATCAAACTGTAGAACAGAACTACAAGCAATTGATCAGTAAGTTAAATTATACGATATCTCTTCACTCGCGTAGAAGACTCAATCTCCTACAAAAAGTGTTTATTCTGAACGTTTACATCTTTTCAAAGCTGTGGTACGTTGCACAAATTTTTCCACCAGCAAATAAACATATCGCGGAAATAAAACAAATAAGCAACAGATTTCTGTGGAAAGGTTACTTCTATTCTTCAGCAAAAAATGAAACTGTTCTTCCTACGTTCAAAGGTGGTTTGG